CCCTATGAGCACCGGGTATGGGAGTTTAGGGACTACACCTGCTGCTACCTCAGTAGTGTTCCCTTGGATCTCGATTTTTACTGGGATGGTGGGGTAGTAACTAACTGTCCCATGGACATATGTTATCCCTATACGTTTAGCCTGTAGCAGCTGACTACGCTTCATGAGCTTCCCTGAGATAAGCGTGATAGCACTCCCCAAATCAACCAGTGTCGTGGTCCCTACCCCATTTAGTTTCACTGGTCTGGTATACATATGTGGGGTTAGTGAGGTGGATTAGGGATCATGGATCTGCCCAGTTCCCCAGGTTACACTGCATAGGCTCCTCAGCATTGGGACACTGTGCAGCTATGTGTCCCCACTCCCTGCAGGCATAACATCTGTATGGAGCCCTAGGCGTTCCCCGGTCTGTTGGTTTGGGCATTCTAACATCACAATCCTCTTCTGCCTCACTGCTCCGACTCTTTGTGGCCTCTGATGGGCCTTCAGCCTCTCTCTTTTTCCACCTGGGCCCTCCTGGTGGCCCAGTCACTCGAACTTTAGGGGATGGTGCTGCTAGTTTAACCCGGGGTGCCTCTTCCTTAACTGGTTGGGTCAGCTCCCTCGCTGTCCTTCGCCTCTCTACCAGGGCGACAACCTCGTCATAGGTGGAGGGTTCGTTCTGGCTTACCCAGGCACGAAGGTCTGGTGGTAGTCCCCTCATGTATCGGTCGATGACCAGAACCGCTAGTATCTCTTCCAGACTCCGGGACTCTATTTGCAACCACTTTCGTGCGAGATGGATGAGGTCATACAATTGGGACCGCGGGGTTTTGTCTTCCTGGTACCTCCAACTGTGATACTGCTGGGCCCGCACTGCTGTCGTTACCCCAGATCTGGCCAGGATCTCTGCTTTCAGCTGGGGGTAGTCTGCCGCAGCCTCTTCAGGCACATCATGGTAGGCCTTCTGGGCCTCCCCACACAGGAATGGGGCAAGGATGCCAGACCACTGATCTCAAGGCCAGGCCTCCCGTAGGGCTGTCCTCTCAAAGGCCAGAAGGTACGCCTCTACATCATCCTCCCGTGTCATTTTCTGCAGCCAATGGCTGGCCCGTATGAGCCGCGTCCCATCATGGCCATGATTCAGCTCTGTAACAGACTTTACCTGGTTTACCAGTTCCCGCAACATAGCTCGGTCTTGAGCAGCCTGGTCCATCAGCAGGCGATTAGTCTCTTGCTGCAGCCGCACCGCCTCCTGTTGGGCGGCTGCCTGGACACGGGTAGCCTCCTGCTGGGCCGCCATGGCATGTATCAGTGCCTGCACTACATCATCC